GCCGCGATGCTGTCCTTGCCGGTGAAGGGGCGCAGAAAAGTTCTCAATGGTCGGGTGCTTGGGGTACGAGCTCACCGAGAAGCACCCTGCATGGCGGCGTCCGGGTCCGTGATGACCATCTGCGGCTCCATGAAGGGCCACGTGTCCTATGTAGAAAGATGCCCGGCAGCGCAAACTTGTGTGACATGTATGTGTAAAAAGTGCTGCGGGGTGCGTGTTGGCCCGGGAACCGCCGCCATGACGTCCTGGAAGACACCGATGTGGCCGAACAGGAGTGAGTGGCCTGGCGGTTGAGGCTGTTTGTTTTTGACCCCCCCTCGCAGTCAGTTCATCGTCGAGCTGGGTCGGGCGCGGAACGGGCCCGGTGTGAGGAAATTGAGGCTGGACGTGGGAGACTTACGAGATTTCTGAAGAACAGGCGTGCGCGCACGAGCTTGAAGACGCCAAACACCAGGGCCGCCACGGCGGCGCTGAAGGCCAGAAGCGAGTTGGAAACACCAAACATTGTTAGCGCTTATGTCGCGGCACACTGTCGGGAGACTCTGTCGACTCGATTGCCTGTCGCGACAAGCACGAAAGCGAAAAAGAGAAACCCTCCTGGCGGACGACAAGCCCGCGGTCAAAACTCGACGAAATCCCTCGTCAACGCCGCAAGCCACCATGCAGGCAGGCCCCTCCTCACCCTGGCTACCTACCCATCAGCAAGCACATGCTTTTTTTTGGTAAGTGGTGCGGCAACACGCTGAAGACTGATGCAGGCTAGAGGGACGATCTGATAAGATCATCTGATTAGATCATCCCTCAGTGGTCTCGCGAGATTACATAGCGTCAGTTTAGCTTTCGGCTAACCCCCAATTCGTGTTCGAGACCGCCGGCAGAGGTGGGAAGCCGGCATTTCGTAGCCGGACAGGCACTGCAGAAATATTCAAGGGAGAAGAGCTGGGCACAAGGCAAGGTAATTTGTAAGGTAAAGCAAGGTAGGCTACCCCGCTCTGAGGGCATCCAACAGTTGGGTACGGTTCTGCTGACTCCGCAAGGTAACAGGATCCTTCTTATATCTATTGATAACACCAGCCATCGACCTTCTCTCCTGTGTCCACCAAAATCAAGGCATCGTGCGCCGTTTCTGTTCAACCACGCGCTAACTGTCCTGTCGTCGTGATGTAGCACGCTGTCATGCCTGGAGTAGTAAGATGCACATTGTATTCGGCTGATTTGAAAGGAGTTTCGCGACGGGCCAAGGACGGCAACTGTTCATCTCTTCGGGGTCTCTCATAAGGCGAGCAATCGACACCCTCCTCTTGCTTGGAACGGCCATCCTCCTTCTACGTAGTCCCTCGTAACGGTTGGCCCCCTCTGCGCTGTTACTCCTCTGCCAAGCAACAGGCGCACCGCAGCTATCCTTGCATGGTAATGGTGGTTGCTTCCTGCTGTTGTACCGCTGTCAGATTCACTCAACAAGATCTTGTTGTGAATGGCCGATAAGGTGAAGGAAGGGTGTGCCGTCCTCTGTAGCTGGGCTCTGCCGTTGCGCACTACTTAGGCCGCCAAGCTGGCCACATGCTGGGTCTCTCACACTCACTCACCTGCACTACACTGGCCATTGTATCGTTAGCTCATTCAGTCACGAGTCAGATTGAGAGAGGAACTGGCAAGTTGAATCGATTTCAAAGCCTGTGCAGAGCTTTCTAAGGCCCGGCGACATGCGAATTAAATAGAGGCTTATAGGGCCTTAGAAAAGAAGTGTGTCAGACCACCAGAGAAAGCCAAGAACTGTCCTGTTGACCCGTTTGTCAACTCCATTACAACACCGAGAGATGGTCCCGGCCAACTCTCGTTCAACTTTATACATGAGAAGAAGACAGACAAAGGAAATAGACAAAGGGAAACAGGAAGCCATCACATCGTTGCCACGATGAACATGTCCTAAGCACCGATGCCGAAGCCGATGCCGAAGGCCACGCAAGTCTTGCCCTCGCACCTCGTAAATGGAGGACAGCCGAATCCGAGGATGCCGCCGCAACGCTGTCCAGCGCCAGCAGGCTGTTGTGTGTTGCCGCCGCTGCTACTGCCACCAGCGGTGGCGCCTCCACCGGCATTGGCACCAGCGTTGACGCCAGATCCGCCGGCATTGGCACCGGCGTTGACACCTCCGCCGGCATTGGCACCAGCGTTGACACCTGATCCGCCGGCGTTGGCCCCAGCGTTGACACCACCACTGGCACCTCCGTTGGCTCCGGCACTGGCACCACCAGTACCAGCGTTACCGCCAGCGGTGACACCGCCTCCAGCGTTTGGCTCCGGCGTTGACACCACCGCTGGCACCTCCGTTGGCTCCCGGCACTGGCAACCACCACCACCATTCGCTCCAGCGTTGACACCAACCGCTGGGCACCCTCCATTGGCACCGGCACTGGCACCACCACCGGGGTTGGGCCCCAGGAATTGACACCACCGCTGGCACCTCCATTGGCACCAGCGTTGGCACCTGATCCGCCGGCGTTGGCCCCAGCATTGACACCACCACTGGCACCTCCGTTGGCTCCGGCACTGGCACCACCAGTACCAGCGTTACCGCCAGCGTTGACACCGCCTCCAGCGTTGGCTCCGGCGTTGACGCCGCCGGTAGCACCTCCGTTGCGCCGGCGTTGCACCG